AAAATTGAAGGGCACAAGAGGCTGTTTATTCGTCCACAACCAAGTGGGAGCACATTGACTTCAGCAGTGCTCACTCCTTTTAGTCACAAAATCTTAAGAGCTTTTACCACCACCTGTTTTATGGTGTACTGCTTGTGTATGGTAAAATGTTAAAGCCGTGCTCTTACCACAAGAGGTCTCTTTTGTGTGCAGCTCCTTTAAAAGAAAAACAACCTCTGCTCCCTTTTTTGCCTGTAGTTCTAATTATTTTCTTACTGTGTAACATTGGAAGACTCCTGGGATCAGCTCCTGGGAGCTGTGACACTGCATGCCAGGGGATCGCTACCAATGCGTCTTAAAGAGGACCAGCAGGAAAATGTGTCCTCCTCCCGAAACACATCGCTGAAGGTATTTTAACATGAAAACACCCCTTGATTCTGCTATTCCCTGTTTGTCCTAAAGACAGGACAGCACCAAAGGAGACAGGGGATGTGGGTGCTGGGGAATCGGTAAATGTCTACAGAAAGTATTTGTCTGTGTGTGCAGATGTGAACCAACGCCAGTGGCTTTTCCCACAGTTATGGGAGTGCTCATATTAATAAACCAAACAAAATCTGGCCTTGGCACAGAACGCTTGTGAGGAACTGGAAAATGCGTGTTATGGAGAGTGAGAAATACTGTTGACACCCTGTGTTTATGAGGATGGTTAATTGTTCACGGTAGACTTTGCTTGATGGAAGGAAAACACTTGTGATGCCTCTGCGGTCCTATTAAGACTAATTAATTCCTTCTCTAAATGAAATGAAGACTAATTAGACTCTAATATTAATTTCCTATTCGTCCAGAACCACTGATTTTCATATCACCCTATTGCAGCCAACACTTTTATGTCTGTGCTTGTTGTGTGTCGGGGTGTTTGCCTGACAAAATGATCTAAACCAGCCATAAACGTCATTTATTGAATGTGCTCAGGCCAAGGGAGAGCAGTGCAGACTGAGCAGGGCTGGGCCATGAGCTGTGCGTGAGGTCGACATCACCTGTCCCTCCAAAATGTGCCCATGTCTCACCCAAAATTGTCTTCTGTATGGCTGGATTTTACCTGCCTCACACTTTTAATGAATGGTCTGAGTAACAGCAGAACAGTTGAGTACAAACAGTGAGGAAGTGGTTAAAATTCCCTTTCATTTTAAAAACTAGCATTTAAAGACTCCTCTGTGAGAACAGTGCTGCTGGTGCTTTATTGTCATCCAGGGAACAGCCCTGACCTGAAGCCTCCAATAATGTATAGAAAAATAGGGGTGGTTTTTCCATGTTTTCTTTTTATCTTCCAACTTTTAATAACCAAAAAGTACAGAAAATGCTGCAGTTTCTAAACTAATTTTATTCTTTTTCTAAAAGTCAGTCCCTGAAAGTTATCCCAGAACTGTTTCCCATGAGAAAGGTGTGTATGACAACTGGTTTTCCATGGAAAAAAAATCTGTTGGGCTTTTGCTGTGCAGGTGTTGGGGGCCGTCGCTAGAGCCGGCAGTGGGTCCTGGGCTGCCCCGGGGAGCTCCTGTGTGACTGCTCTGGTGATCCTGCTCTGGCAGGGGTTGCACTGGGGGAGCTTTCCAGGTCCCTTCCAACTCCTCGTGTTCTGTGATCCCTGCCCTCCCCTTCTGGCTGTGCGGAGGCTGAAGGGAGCGGGGCTCAATGTGGAACTACCTGGGGTACCTGGTACCCCCTCCTTTCTGAGCATTCCCAGTTTGTTCCTGTCGTGCTGTGCTTCTCCCTTGTCCGCACAAAAAGCCATAAAAAGCTGATTTGCCTGCTCTGTGTGCAGTGCCCTGCAGCTCCCTGTGGCATTTTGGGTACAGGAACTCGCAGTGTGGGGTCAGCCGTGCACCCCACGCGCGATGGTGACCCACGGTGCTGTTGGTGCAGCGTGTCAGTGTCCTCCCATCCTTGTCAGCTGGAGACGCTGTCTGTGACTGTCTTTACAAACTGGTGTCCTTGATTAATTCGTAGATGCAAACCAGTTTTTCCTTGGTGAAACGGTCTGAAAGGCTCACGGGTACCGCTTCATCGTAACTGGTGCTGGGGGTGACACAGACAGGTACCAGATGGTGAATCCCATTTTAACTTCCTATTTTCTACAGTTTTTTATGCATTTTTACACTGTGTTTTTCTTTCCATTACTTAAGTTTTAGTGCTCTGTTTTGTACTGCAGAGCTATGCTCTAAGTATCCTCATCTTCTCAGGAGATAAAATGATTCTGTTGCTTTTAATTAAATACTAACACTTCTGCCAATTCTTCATGATTTAATAGATCTAATACCATTAACATGTGATTAACCTAGGTCAGCATATCCTTGAAATGTAAAATCTGAGTCTCAAATGCAAGAATTTTTGCTTTCAAATCATACCTCGCTGTTGTAACAGACTAATGAGCTCAAAACTGTGCATACAAATAACAGCTGAATACCTTAATACCTTACCCTTCCTGCCTCACGCTATTTCCAAAACATTTGAGAGAGGCATATATAGCTATGCACTTTTCTGCTGTGGGTCCCACAGGATTAATGGTAAGGAAGATGAATCATGGAAGGATGTGTCGGTGGGAACGAGGTTCACAGTCTGGGCTCAAGATTGAGCCCTGCAAAAGTTCAGGCCCACTGAGACCGTAATTATACCGTAAAAGACAATCACCTCATGGAACGCTGAGATGAATACGAGGACCGTCAGTGTCTTGTGGTGAATTCTCACATGCACAACTAGTTTTATTTGTGGAGTAACTCCTCACGTGAACCATGCACTTATACAGATCTTATTGGATAATCCTTAGGTGTTTGGTGAAAACAGAAGCCACCAGCAGTGACCTAAGGCCTGGTTGCCTTTTTAGATTCATTTATCCTGGATGTCAGGCATTGCCTGCAGCAGCCTCCCCATCATCCCCTGCCTACAGCTGTGTGGGGTGCAGGCCACAGGACCCCAGAGCCCCCAGAAGAGGGGGGACAGCGCAGGGAGTGAGGGTGTGCGTTGTATCCCAATTCTGTCACTGCCTCAGCGCTCAGACGCCCCTGCAGAGCTGCAGCAAACGCGTCCTAAGGCAGGGCAGGAGCATGGGGCTGACCCATCCTGCGTGGCTGCCAGTGTCCCCTGGCCCCCAGTGTCCCTGTCTGCCACTGCCCTGGGACGAGGTCTGACCACCGCTGTCTCAGGCAGCCTCTCGTGCCTTTCCAGGGCAATGTCGCTTTTCAAATGGTAACTTAATAATTTTTTTTTTAAAAAAGAAGAAAAATTTGGTAGAAACAAAATGTCTTTATTCTCTGTAAAGAAATTGTAATTCTTTGCAGTAAAGCTGAACACTGGATGATTAATTCCCTACCACATCACTATTGCCAAGGCCTGCACAGCATGCAGCTGGTGTAGCTTCTCTATACCACTGTGGAGCAGCACTTGTTTTGACTGGCACTGTATTAATGTTCTATCTAGAAATAATGGTTTTCCATACTAAAGCATTTAAATATAGTCAGCTGTTGCCTTTTCTTCTAAAAGGCACTCAGTTAGGTATAGATCTTACATAGGATTCAAAATCTGGTATGCCAGGTCTTGGCAGCATCTCTCATCACACGATGCTCACCAAAGGCTGTTTAAAACAAGTCTGTTCTTACACTCACGGCCTAGTTTGTTTTTGATGTGTGCATGTGGCATTCTGCTAAAGCGAAGCATTTTGCTGTCACTGTGTGAATTAAACACAGGAGCTGGGACACGGCCATGGGAAGCTGGTGGTTCGTCCTTTCTCACTGTTTGCAGAAAGAGCATTTGTGCCGCGCTCCTTGCTCCTGGTTTCAAAGGTGTAACTACAAGTTAACGATGTATGCCAGGTTCAGTAGCCCAGTACCAGTGGTGAGGATGTGACTGGGGCAGAAATGGGAATTTAGGGACTGATGGGACAGCAACAGCTGTTCCGCGGGGAGAACTCCAGTGGGGCCAGGACCTACGCTTTTGGAGAGGCCCTGCCCCAGCTCAGCCACAAGGATGTAAAGTGTGCACTGACGTCCAACGTGCTCTAGCACATAGGTAATACCTGTGTTAGTTATCCACCAACTTATGAAAGCTGTAATTGTTAAGAAATGGAGGAGGAGTGATCTCAGGAACATGGTGGACCTTGGCTCTGCACAGTGCAGGCACACAAGGGGAAAAACTTCTGTCCTGCAAAACCCAGCCTCACAGCTCAGCTCAGCTCAGTGCTGCAGCCCCTTCTCCAGCACTGCTGCACCTTCCCTGCCTACCACCTCCTTGTCTGAAGTCAATGGAGTAGTTCAGCTGGAAGAGACCAACAACCATCATCAAGTCCAAATTAATTTACTTCAAAAGTTGCCACGAGCATAGGAGATTTTCTTGATGAAGAGGAAATGCAGAGAGAGGATATGAACGGCTCTTGATAGGGCTTGTTTTGACAGAATAGTGCTTGGGAGCCTGGATGCTTTGTCTGAGCCACTGGAGGGTTTAGTGGCACAGCGGAGATGAGGTTCCCATCCAGGACATAAATGCAGAAGCCTCTGGCTTTCTCTGTTTTTTTAGTAAAATACCCAAAGAAACCAAAAAAGCACTCAGACCTGTTCCTCCCTGCATCTCCATAGGTTGAAATGGGGTCAGCTGTGTGCTGTATATTAGTTATTTGTCTATTACCATACTGAAGCCGTGTGCCACTCCATGTTTGTGTCCATCTGCCCAAGGAGCCATTGTAAAGCTCTCCTGTCCTTGCTGTGTCAGGAGCCGGCACAGACGTCATGCTCCCCGGTGTTTTTTTGGGAGCCTGCAGGGCTGTGGGCTGGGAAGGGGGAGGCAGTGGAGGAAGGGGCTCGTCCCCTGACTGCGCGTTTGACTGCAGCTGCAGAGCCACCACACTCAGGAGCCTGCAATGGCAAAAGGCAGTGTTCATGGGACTGTAATGCCCCCGACAACATTTTCTTGTATGAAGTGATGGTAACAAGGAAATATGCTGTAGTGCTGCATTAGTGATCACATCTTGTACCCTACATGGGACAGATTTTATTTTCTGAAGTTGCCAACTGAGCAAAAGATGGGCAATTTCTGTGTTCACCCTCGGGTCTCTTGGTAGCGGCGCTGTGTGCTGCCAGGGTGGACATCTCGCTGCCCCTCTTGTCCAGGGTCAGCATCGCTCGCTCCGAGGTCGGGTTCACGCTAGACTCAGGGGCGTCTGTGCCCCTGCAGCTGAACATCTGAACCAGGCACCTGCGGAACTGGGAAGGTGAGAAAAAGGAGATCAACCAAAACACATAGGGAATTTTAAAGGATCTCTACAAATCAGTCTGCGTCTCAGCCAAAGCTCTTGGAAATTCTCCATGAGTCAGTTGGCAATATAAAGAAATAGCCCCAGAAAATATATTTGCCTGTGCCACTATGAACAACTCTGAAACTGAGAAATAATGATGCTCTCAAAAGACACAGACTATTGAAAAAACTCATTCTGAAATAATTTCCTCTTCTGCTTGTTACTGACCACATTTAGTGGACAGAATTGGTAATTTCTCCAGGCTCAGGAGTTGCTTTCATATGTTAATACGAGCTACTCAGAGGTGGTTTGCTCCAGGTTCTTCCTATCCATGAGCAGGGTAAGAGCACCATGTGTCTGCCGTGTGCTGAGGTATCAGGGCAGAGTCCATGGGAAGTGAGACAAGCAATAGCCCTCTGCAGGACCAGATAAATAAATGTATTCATTACTTCTTACTCAACAGTCACTGTTTTTCCTCTTTTCACTTAGATAGCACCATCAGTAGGATAAATCCACTCAGGGTCATTGCTGTGCCTGTAACCACAGTGAACATGCACCCCTGCTCCATCCCCTCCCCAATTCCCCTTCTCTGCATCCAGTCCTCGGCCCCGTCCCACAGGCTCAGGCTGTGCCCCTGCCCTCACCACACACAACTGCAAATGCAGCATTTCCCTGCACACACTGAGGTATTGAAAACTTCCACCCGCCTCAAAATCAACTCACTGGTGCTGGATGCCTGAAGAATTGTCAAAATTTACAGGGACAGTCTTGAAATTAGAATTTTCATACAGAAAACTAACTGATCTTCACTAAGGGCTGATTTTCCTTTATGGTATCTAAACCTAATAATTATTAACATTCATGTTTTAATAATGCACAGAGGCTTTCACCATCTTCCTATAAGCAGATATTCAGTGGGGTTTTTTAAACTTTTTTTTAGTTCTAAATGCTTGATATTGCACTGTCAGTTAACGAACATGTAGGTAGAACTAATTGATTATAAAGCAAGACAAAATATCAAAATATGAGTGTTAAGGACACTTTGAAAGCACACAGTACCTGTTTGTTCATGAAGACATAGATAACTGGGTTATAAACAGTAGCGGTTTTGGAGAAGAAAGCTGGGATTGCTGCCAGACGCGGGTCCAGGTCGATGGAGGGGCGTGCAGTGACCAGGATAGAAAAGGCGGCGTATGGCGTCCAGCAGATCAGGAAGGCGACAATCATCACCACCACCATCCTGGTCACTTGTCGCTCAGGTTTCCTGCTGGTTCCCAGCCTGCCTTGCGTATCTGACACCTTTGAAGAAAAGCAGAAAATTCCAGAAAGCAAACGGGGCCTGCAGCCAGTGGCTGTGGGGAGCCATGCTGGACAGAGTGGCCTTCTCCGGTACGGCAGCACCAGGGAGGCTTTACTGCCCCACAGGGCACCAGTGTCATTGCTGAGGGACACAGATCACTGTGCACTGTCATTAGATTTCCCTTTGCTTAAGTACCTTTGTAATTTTATTGTCAAAGTGAGAGCAGAAAGCAGTTTCCAGGGAAATCTCTGTAGAAATCCGGGTGCAGTCAGATGCTCCCAAGCCAGCATCAGCCAAGCCCGGGGGAGCAAAGCCATGGCCAGGTTTTCTGTCCAGCCTCACAAAAGTTAATTTACCTAATTAATGTCAAGGGTGCTGCAGACACCCCCCCAGGGCAGGGCAGAAAAACCTTTAAATTCTGTCTGTGAGAAAAGTGATGATCCTAATGATTTCAGTCAAATCAGGACAAGATTTGGCCTCTGTTTAGAATGGCAAACAACAGAATACAATGACCCTGACAGAATGAGCAGTATCTGATAGCAACAAGTTACCTCTAAAAATATGAAATAAAGTTAGGGCTGTGTTTTGGGGGATACAACTCGCCATACATCACCAAATCCAGTGGAGCCATCTCAGCCTGCAGCAGCCCTGCGTCTGCACAAGGCTGGACTTGGCTTGGCTGAGCAGGGAACACGGTGTCTGTGCTGGCAGAGCAGTGCCCCTCGCTCACCCCTTTATGGTCCTCTTGGGAGATGCATCTGCTGCTGTCCTGACAACCAGTGTGTGTGCAGCAAAATAAAATGGAAACAAGGCAAATACGAGACTCCCACAGCAACATTAGAACTGAACGGAGACATTTTCCCAATGTCCCTTTCACTGCACTCAGATAATTTGACATATTCAGTGCTTACAAAGGTATAGAAACACCTCCTGGGGAGGGAGAGGTCCTTACCCCTGTAGAAAGTTGTAATCCGTGTGGTTTTTTAACAATAAATGCAACAACAATAATAATAGTACTGACTTGTCATAATACTTAGAGTTCCTGAGGCATTAATGCAGGCTGTGCTAGGTGCTGAGCAAAGCTGAGATATTCAATCTATGACATTTCTATAGCGTTTTTTCATGCACATAACAGGAGCGGCCCAGCCTGCTTTCGGCAGGGGCGCAGTCACTCAGTAGGGCACAGAACCTCCTGGGCTGCACTTTTGCCAAAAATGACATCATTTCACATCACAAATTCCACATCAGCCCAGCCCTGTCCTCAGCTGTGGCTTCTCCTTTCTCTCTAAATCTGAGAGCACAACTGGTAAGGAACCACGTAGTGGTTTGTTACAAACAAAGGAATAATGCCACAGTAATTTATCTCCACTGTAGGCTGTTAATTAGATCTTTTCCTAAAGGTTCATTTCCGTCACTAGCTTTGCAGTTGTGGTGAATCCTAACGCTGTGGCCACAGGGATGGAGGCACCAGCTGCTCTCCTGAGGCGAAGCGAGGCCACTCAGGACCAAGTCCTGTGGCACCCACAGGACACGGCAGTCAAAACCTGGAAATGGGGCTGGTTGGGAACGTCAAAACTCCTGTCCTGGTGCCTGGGTCTCTCCCTGCTCACCATAGAGCTGAGCTGTGTGTGAGATGCAACCTTATGGCAGTTTGTTATAAATTTGCAGAATACCTCGCAGGCAGTTGGTTTCTCTACACCAGGCTGTGCTTTAAGCTTTTATAAGGAGCAGAGGCAAACTCAGACAGTCAGCTCTCTCTGTAACACCCACAAGAGCCAAAGGCAAGCGCTGGCACAAGCCAAATGGTCACGGATAAATCACTAGTGATGAGGAGCCCCTGGCCGCCCCGGCATCTCCTGGCTGTGTGGTCTCCAGGCCTCTGAGCTGCAAGGGAATGTGAAATACCTAACTTACTGAGAGGTGTGGGTTTTTTAGTATTACTGCTGCTGTCTCTGGATAATGGAGAGAGGAGTGAGAAAGACACTAGAGGGTGGTGACACTACGAGGGCACACCACAGTGGCTGTAGGCCAGCACTGGGACCCACTGCACGGCAAGGATCAGTCCTCCAGGACACCCTGACCTGACTCGCAGGTGAGATGGACCATGTGCTGCCGTCCGCCCTGACCAACGGTGGCATTTCCCTCCATTGGCCCCATCGTTCCTCATCTCCCCCGCTCCGTTTTACCTCGCAGCCTCTGGAGTGGCTGTCCCAGAGGAAGGAAATGGCGCTTTCTGTACCCCTCCTGAAGCACCCAGGGCCACATCAGCCATGGCTCTGGCAGAGCCATCAGGGTCTGGGTGCTCGCCCAGTGCCCTCCTTCCCTCCACACCCTCCTCGGTCACCCCCCCTTCATGCCAGGCCACCAGGCCCCCACAGGCTCCCCTCCCAGAGCAGCCCTGTCCCAGCCCTGCAGCGCGGGTCCATGGCCACTGTTCCATGGGGACACCGTAACAGTGTTGTCTCAAAATACTGTGCCAAAATCCTGTCCCAGACAGGAATTTTCCTATTGTATGGCCATCTTCTTTTTCACTTTTCGCAGATTCTCTTTTGGATCAGGTAAGCATAATCACTAAATAAAATACAAAAGCATTTCTCAAGTCTTTTAAATGTTCCTGGACAACCTAGTATTTTATTTACTAAACAGCATTACATTATTTACAAATGCTACACCTTATTCTGCATGCAAGTATTACAGAGTATTAGCCAGCACTATTAAAATTTACAAATGCAGTCTTTTTAAGCTAAATTCTGATTTGCCTGGTTTGTCTTAGGAGATGTCAGTGAATTGCAGTACAATTGTAAATAAACCAATACTGGGTCATTCTGTTTCTATATTTATGAGGCATTCCTTCACTTGTATGATGTTTGACTGATGAGATGTATCAATAACTGATGCAAACTGCTCACTTTGAAGTATCATTTCTAACCATAGCATGAATTTCTGTGTGTAGTAAGTATTCAACAAGGGACGATAACCAAGTGCATTTGCCTGGAAATTTGATCTGCTTTTGTCTGATCTCTATAGAAAATTGAACATAAAATTCCAAACGTTTGCCTCCATACACATTTAAAAGGCTTCTTACCTTTCTTAACTTCCGCATCAGCTTTCCGTAGGATACCAAAATCACCGATAACGGCACTACGAAGCAGGTGATGAACAACGCGATAATGTACGTATGGTCGATATAAGCTCCCGAGTACCTGGATAAAACACGAAATACATTGTGTATGTATTACCAGTTATGTTCTTAGTATTCTCTTGAAGCATTAACTTTGCTCTTCAAATCTGTCACTGGTATTTTGGTCAGCTGTTTTTATGGAAAGTGCCCCTTTACAAGTCCAGTGTATCCACAGATGGAGCCCTGGGCCACCCCCTGGTGGATCCGATGGCCATAGGCACACAGCACTGTGTCACAGCACTGAGTCACAGCACAGTGTCACACAGCACAGTGTCACAGCACTGTGGGACAGCACTGTGTGCCAGCACAACGTGACAGCACTGCGGGACAGCTCAGGTGGGAAGGGACGTGCGGTCCAACCGCCTGCTCAAAGTGGGGTCGGCTGTGGGGTCAGACCAGGGCTCTCTCCGGTCTTCTGAAAAAAACCTCTCTGTCATCTCTGTGCCCTGACAACAAGCACAAGACACAGGATGGGTGTTTTCATCAGAGATGGAAGTTACACCCTTCAGAATTATTTTTTTTAAATCTGTCCTTGGCAAATTTTTCTCATTTTTGTTCGAGCTTTCTTTACAGCCATTTTTGCAGTGATGTACATAATCTTTAAACCTTGCCTTTGAAGTCCTACCCCTGAGATGTCCTGAGCTGCAAGTTCCATCCCTTCACCATACACTGCCTTACCAGTTCGGCTCGCAGGTAGTTCCGATCTTACTGGTGGTGTAGCTGCTCCAGCCCATCGTTGGTGGGATGGTCCAGATGAAGGAAAAGCCCCACACAAAGGCAATGCCAAGGGCTGCGTGCTTCCCTCTCAGGCGCACGTTTCCCAGCGGGCGGCAGATCACGATGTACCGCTCAACAGCCAACAGAGCGAGGGACCAGAGAGCAACAATGCCTGTTGTGAGAAAACACGGCCAGCATCAAAAATGGGGCAGATCAAACTCCATCCCACAGCACAGAACTGACCAGGCTGAACAGCATCTCTGGAGGTCACCAGTCCAACACCCCCCACTCAGGCACGGTCCATAGAGCAGGTTGTCCAGGACCAAGTCCAGCTGGGTTTTGAGTATCCCCACAGATGGAGGCTCCAGAGCCTCTCTGGAAACCTGCTCCTGTTTCATCTGCCTAGTTTGTCAGTCTACAGTGTAATGACTACAGCACCAAGCAGCTGATCAGGCCATTTCACTGATGATAGCTGCTTTTTTTTAATTAGGATCTGCTCTAAAAAGCGGCAAATTATGTATAGCTGACAAATCAACAAATTAAGGTGTATCTTCAAAATGCTCTCTTTCCAAGAAATGTAATATTTCAGACTATCATAAAACTCTAATGTACAGACAGCTGCCCACAGCATCAAATTATTGGTTTATTGTGCACATATCACCTCATTGGCTAGCAAATAAAAAAATCTTGAGATAGCCTTATCTTTCTGCATGGGACATGGCTCATGTGCCACAGACCGAGTCAGCAGCAGCATCCCTCACCCTCTGTGTCGCTGACGCAGGCTGAGAGCCCCCTGAGCCCCCTCCTCAGCGGGGGTCAGTGCTGAGCTTGGCTCAGAGCTGGGGCAGTCAGTGCCTGTCTTCACTGCACAGGAGCAGGAGGCAGTGAGCGTCTGTCTCCAGAAAGTGGATGTCCCATTTTAAATCCATTTCCCATTTGTTCTGCAGGGGTGTATTTACACAGGGAGCTATGTGGTGAGGGGTTTCCCTTTTAGGGTACTTTTAGTACTTTTTGTGTAGTTAGTTGAACAGAGCCTAGAGAGGAAAAATCCCCTAAACCGTAGGGGTGAGGGGTGATGGTTGCTGGTGTCACGGTTCCTCAGAACTGCTGCAAGGCAGATAACATAGGATGTTTGTGTGCCCTGATACTCCCCACAGTTTAAAAGCAGCCGCTCACTCTTTTTATCTATTATTTATCCATATATGCATACATCTAAATACAAACCTTGAAAATAGTTACATGTAGTGACATTTTTCTCTGTCATTGTTTTACCAACCTTCCCCCCCCCGCCCCCACTGTTATTCCATTAGCAAAGCTTTTCTCCTTACATTAAACATATTCAATGACCACCACACACATGAGAAGCCCCTGGTGTATGATGGAGGTAGTGACAGATGTTATTCACTCTGACATGAGGTCCACTTCAGCATCTATGGAATGGGGAAGAACCAGTGAGTTAAAGACATGTAGTGCCTGGGGAAGAACAGTGAGGAGTCAAAGACTTCTGTCAGTGCCCGGGGAAGCCACAGAGAGCTCACAGAGTAGACAGGAGGAGGCTGAAGGTAAAGGACAAACAACTACGAAGAAAATCAGGCTTACCAAAAAATGTGACTGCAAATCCTTCCAGCACACAAGCCCAGTATCCCATATAAAAATAACCTTTCAGATTCGTTAAAAAGCTGATGGTGCCACCACTCAGTGAGACCAGGAAGTCGGCCACCGACAAGTTGACGATGACATAGTTCACAGGTTGTCTCAACTGCTTGAACTTCAGGGTTACCAGGATCACTGCCAGGTTCTCGGCAAGCGACAGGGAAGTGACCACCAGCATCAGGGCCGCCAGGAGCCTGAAGTGCCAGGGCTGGATGGAGTCCAGGGGGCAGCGGAAGGGATCCCATCCCGCAGGACCAGCGGCGCTGGGCAGCAGCGACTCATTGTCCAGTGCTCTGAACACATCCATGTTTTCTCTCCCACTAGCAAAAATAATATTGTATAGTACTGGAGTTTCTAACCTGGAAATAATATTCAGGATTAAAAGGAGAAATTTGCTGTCTCCAGCAGGAGTGTGAACAAACTCTCCATGCTGCTGCTTTCCAGTAATAGTCCAGGAAACAAAGTTTTGGTCAGAGGAAATTTCAGTGCCGTGCAGGGAATGTGGGAGCAGGGATGAGCAAGGTAATCCCTTAAAGCCCCCTCTGCCGGTGTCCTGTGCTGCAGACCTGTCTTTATCAGAAATCAGACCCGGCGGTAGGAGCTGCAGGTTCCCTCCTTCTGCAGCAGCCAACGGCAGCGCTGAAACATCCCCCGGATCATCCCCGCTCCACAGGAGATGAAGCGTTTGCTTGGATTCCACCCTCAGCACCAAGAGAACACAAGCTTCAGTGATGGTGAGGGTGGAGGGCTCTGCCTCACACCCAGCTCCTCTGTGCACACTACAGCAGACCCGGACCACAGCTCTAAATCCGAGTTTGGTTAGCACGCTGCTTGAAATTACACAGGTTTTTAAATGATTATGGGTGTCAGAACGAAACCTGAGCTCTGAATTTAGCGTACAACAGGGCAGGTAGCATCTGGACTCCTCCAAGGTGCAAATCTATTACTCGAACACTGACACCCCTTTAAAGAATGGAAAACTGTTTCCAGTTATTTTCTTGTTTTATGCTGTCATATACTATTCAAGTTGTTTGGATGAGGTATGATTTCAGTTACAGTTTAAATGCATTTTCTCTCACAACAATTATGTTGTGCTTGCTCTGTTCAGAATCCTTTAAGGATATTCCTGTACTGTCTTCCTTGCCTTGTTTTTCCTTTTCAGCAGGTCGGCTTTATCACTGAAACCATCCTCTGCGATGTGCCTTCTTAGTACAACTGACAGCAGTTGCACTTCTTCAGCATCACAGGTTTGCATTTGCTACTTTGCTCCACAGATGCCACCTCTCTTGCACTGCAGGGCTTCTGGGGTTTTTGGTCTAAATCATACAGACATGGACGTGTTTTAATTTTACTGTGGGATTTTTTCTGAAATCAGAATCAGATACATTTAGAAAGACAAACCATGGCCCTGTGAGCACAGGGAGCACAGCAGCTGCCCGAAATGGAGTGAACCAGCCCCGAATTCACCGTTCACACAGGACACAAACAGGGCAATGAGCCACGAAAACAGAGTGTGCTCAGGGGGTGCACTGCAGCTGGATCCCCAGCTTTTGAGCATGGGATGGTCGGCCCCAAGATGCTGCCATCCAACGGCAGCTGTGGCCTTCACTCCTCAAAGTGAATTTGATTTGCTTTTCCAAACATGTCAGGTCTGAATCAGTCTTATCAGTTTGGGTTGTAAGGGGTTTTTTTAAAATAAGCTATTAAGAAAAACCCAGCAGCAAGTGAGGTCTGTGAATGACTTTGAAATTAAGTGCATTTATATTGATCTTTCCCTTTCCTATATTTGATAAGGCCATTCCAATCGCATATCTCTAAAAGGAAAATAAGAACTAATTTCACGATAATGTTTTGAAAAACACATACAGTAAGGCCAGGTTTTGTTGGGTCTTCAGCAGGGGAGAAGCTGAAGCGAATGCACGAGCATTTAGTTTAAATTAGAGATTAAGCAGAAATTATGGTGATTTATGCTTAGAGACCATTACAGAGTACATTACAAATCCAGAAGGTCACATAAACAAATATGCTTCTGCTGAGCCCAGCTAACCACAGACAGAGCCAAGGCTGGGGCTGCCGGGGGCTCTGCAGGGCTCAGGGCAGGCACAGCCATGTCCAGGGTTGTGCCCACTCTGGTTTTCGGTATCTCCATGGATGGAGACTCAGGGGAACCTGTGCTCACACCCTTACTGAACAGATTTGTCTTATTTTGAGTTATTTTAAAAATTAAGAATAAAACCTTAGGTGCTGCTTCACATTAATTATAAGCGTTATAAATCCATTTACTTCGGGACCACATTTAACCTGGGGAAGTTCAAGGTTGTGAAACTGAATGGCAGACTTTGCTTGGGAGCGCTGTTATGGGACTGCAGTGCTTAATCTCATTTGTCTGTTCTCAGTATCCACCCCCCCTTATTTTAGAACCTGTTGAAGCCTGAGTGTAGGAAATAGGGTTTCTGTTCCATGAAACTCCTGGAAATTCAGACAAATATTCTCCTGCCGCCTGACAAAACTGAAACCATTTGGGGTGTCACATCAGAGCAGGGAGTTATTTCCACTGTGCAGTACCAAATTATAAAGATATTGTGAAGTACCTGAACATAACCTGTTCAGAAGCTTCTGTGGGAGGATACTTTGTCTAAAACCAGCTGGATTTCCTCTTTTAAAAATTTTTCTTAGCTGCAGTTTTATTTTCTCAGTTACTGAAAGCCAGCAATTACACATTTGGAGTCTGGTCTCCGAAAACACCGAACTTCCATGATGGAAAAGTTTTGTCCTTGCCCTTTTGAGTGCCTTGGAGGAATTATTTTGCTGATTTGCTCATTAAAAGAAGGGGAGTGGAGATAAAAGCTGTGTACAAAAGAGGCGTTCCTCACTGCCACCGAGACCAGCGCAGAACTCCAGTACCCAGCAATACCAACGAGACTGGTACCTAAACAAAACTCGCTCTATCAACTGTGAATAAGAAACTTGTTCAAAATAAAATAAACCGCATTCTGAGCATCAGAGAGGAAATAATTTGTTAGGCAGTATTTACTTAAGATACGTTAACAGTATCTCGCAGGTAAGACTTTGTTTAATTTATGATAGCACAGTGCTTTGCAAAGCACAGTTAAACCCGGTTCCTCGGGCACTCACAAAAGCAGTAAAGTAAAAGTCAACAATTTCACACTTTTGCTGGTTCTGACCGAAGTTATTCTGCTGTCACCGTGGAAGTTTTTCACAGAATTTTGGGTCTTTCAACCACTTGCTTTCACGTGATATTAATCTGTTAACACCCCAGTAAAATAAATTGTTGTTTTAACAACAAGCAATAAAGTGAATATGCATTGAAAGGGCTGACTATGCCACTGTAAGGAGCAAAGAACACTTCAATGGCTTGTTTTTTCCTCAGAAACTGTAAATTCCCCAAAAGTTCAGTGTGAATCATTATCCTGTATACTCACCTGCCTGTTCAAAGTAGAAAAACTGTTCACATGATGTTTCTTATTTAAGAGGATTTTTCTATTATGAAATCCTCATGCAGGACTTAATCATGCAATAAATCTTACTGGGCCATGTACACGAGAATCTTTAGTCAACAACCATTAAAAATGTTTGTTATTACATACGTCAAACACATTGTGCCTATTTTGCAGCCCCTGAAGACAGTATAGGCTTTTGCCCTAAACTCGGTATTAGACTAAAACCAAAACTTTGAAGAATTAAGGTCAGAATACAATTTGCAGCTTTGAATTTGTCACCATATTTATGTTTACTGTAAATATGAAAAGATATAGACATCTTGTCCATGACTCATTTCATCAGAGCCTAAAAGTCAGTATTCAAATATGGGTAAAAATTAATTTTCTTAATTGATAAAATTTATTTATTAAAAAAAATAAATCACACGGCAGAGCCTGGAGACAGCCGGAAGGAAGGGAGAGGAGTCCTGAGTGCACCAATGCTTGATCCATGCCATGCTCCTACCAAAATTCCAAAATAACTTCTTTGTGATGCCTGTAACCCTAGCTGGAAGGACAGTACTGAAATAAGGGAAACATCATTTGTATACTTACCTTTTCTTAAAACACAGACTATTCTGAGCAGCATGCTCACCACTGGCCTGTGTGCTTGGTTACGTCCATCTGTGCAGCTGGATGTTCACTGTCAGCTTTGGATGAGAAATAGTGTCCATCTCTTGTTTTCTGCCCAAAACCTGAATCTGAACATTCGTGCACACTGGTAGCCCCTGGATTCGGGTGCAAGCCTCAGTGCTGTCTCCAGCTCCTCAGGTAGTTTTCCAGAGCAATTCTCTGATGAAACAAAACCAGTAAGAGCCACTATCCAGCCAATGGCATCTCGTTAGTGATATAAATCAAACATAGCATGACCTTGCCTTCCACTCAGATTTATTTATACTTGTTTGGGGTGAAGCGTGTTATTCTCTCATGGCTAACTCTCATGATATGAGATTGATGGTGTCATAAGTGTAAGCACCTACCCCAGAGATTCCCAAGGAAGAAGGAAAAACACTGAATCCCCATCTGCATTTGACAGAACATCACATCTGTGCATCTGTCTACAGTGGAGCACCTCTGGCTGTCAGTGTCTTAAGGAGTTAACTACAGGAACACGACTTTCCTCACATTTCTGCAGGTTTCTTTTTCAACATAACCATAACCTGAAACTTCTCTCACTGAAATGGTTCTTAAGGTTGATTTTCATGGACAAAATGCTAATGAAACACCATATAAGAGGACAGATAAAAGGTCTTACGAACATAATCTCCTGTGAGGAAGGAATCTCAGAGGAGAAACAGGAGAGCAGGAGCTGGAGGAGCCCCTGCAGAGTGTAACACTGAGATGGTCAGGACTGGAGTCCTCTGCTGAGGGCCCTGGCCCTGGGTTTCTGTCAGGAGCCTCAGTCGAACCAGCGCTGTCAGTGCGAGGTGAGATGTGGTGATGGGCAGGAGCGTCCTTCACCACTGCCGTGCCATGGCCCCGGTCCCATGCTGCGCTCTGCACCGACATCATCAGCATTGCTTGGTCTGCAGTGAGAAACACTTCAAGCCACGCAGCTTTAGTGTGTTGGAAATTACTGTTTTCCTCAGGTAATTCTGAGGGACACAGTCCACAGAGACTCCCAGTAACTAAATACATCTTGGAGAAAGGTACAAGGATGAGATGTTCTCACCTATCTTCCGTGTGAACACACAAGCTGGTTTTGTGCCTTGAGAATCTGTTCTGTCACCAGCAATCACATAATATATTTTTTTTTAATTCAAATAATACAAACCAGTGTGACACAACCCTGAACCATCACCAGGCA